TAGTATATAGATTGATCGTGTATTTTCATGTAGTTTTTAATATGGATTATAAAAAGACATGTCAAAATGTGAGTATGGTTGTCAGAGATGAAGGGTGTAAGACTAAAGGAAACCTGATGGTCATCTGTAATGAATATTTTACTTCTTTCCACATCAGAATAGAAGGTTAGAAGGCAAAGTATTAACAGCTGTTATTTCTGGATGGGGGAAAAGCAAAAAAAAAAAAAAAAAAAAAAAAAAGAAAGAAAAAGAAAGAACATGCCTAGACAATTTTCAAGGAAGAGGAAATGAAATTTTGCTATAATACACTTTTTCTTTCTTTTTTTAAAGGTTTATTTATTTATTTGAAAAGCAGAGTTACAGAGAGGCAAGAGGGGAGAGAGAGAGAGACAGAGAGAGAGAGAAAAAGGGCTTCGATCTGCTGGTTACTCCCAACAGCTGGAGCTGTGCTGATCTGAAGCCAGGAGCCAGGAGCTTCTTCCATGTCTCTCATGCAGGTGCAGGGGTCCAAGGACTTGGACCATCTTCTACTACTTTCCCAGGACATAGAAGAGAGCTGGATTGGAAGTGGAGCAGCCGGGACTCAAACTGGCACCCATATGGAATGCCAGCACTGAAGGCAACAGCTTTACCCGCTTTGCCAGAGTGTCGGCCCACTTTTTTTTTTTCATTATGAAAATATTTTCAGGAAATATTTAACTATTACAACAATACTGGTTTTCTGTGACTTCAGTAACACATTAATCCAATTTCAGTGATTTAAACAACATGATTTCATTATCTTACAATTCTAGAGGCTAGAATTAAGGTGTCAGCCAGGCAGGGTCCTTTCTAGAGACTTTAGGAGACAATCTGTCTGTCTTTTCCAGCTTCTGGAGGGTATCCATATTTATTGGCTTGGGCAACCTCCTCTGTTTTCAAAGCCAGAATTTCCCTTTGACCACAGCTGGGAAAGCCCCTTAACCTTTAAGGACTTCTGTGATTAGGTTTGTCTGGATCTAGTTGGATAATTCAAGCTAATCTCCCCATCTCAAAATCCTTAATGACACCTGCAAACTCCTTTTGCTATGTGAGGTAACATATTCAGTTTCCAGGGACTGGGATATGGACATCATGTGGAAGGGGCCAACATTCCACCTACCATAATAACTCAGAGTAGGAAGATATCCTTCAACTATAACCTAAAGGATCTTCTAAGCCCCTGCTCCATCTGGCACACTATCTTTGTGAAAAAACAGCAAGTTCTTTTCAAGTTCAAATTCACAGCCGTGAGGGTTCATCTTCTGATGAGGCATGGTTGAACAGGAAATTTGCTGTGCATTTTTTTTTACAATAGAAGACAATGAGAAATTTACATGTTCATTAAGATGGTTTTCATCAGTATAACCAGGCAGATCTCAAATTGAAGTTATACAGAGCTTCCTTCTAGATTTCCTCCAATGAAGAATGGGCACCATTCACTCTAATTGTTGCTTTGCTCTAGCAAATCACTTTGACTGTAGTGACAAATTAACACTGTTCTATGAGATATATTTCATAGACACTGAAATAGGTCAGTTTCCTGTGAATTAAGATTTTGCTGAACTGGATAGTTATGTAGAAACCAGGGTTTGTACCTAATTAATACAAAGTGCTATTGTTCATTGAAATATGATGAATAAGCTTTCCTTCTGTTAGCTTTCTTTTTAAGGAAAGGGTTAATGAAGTTCAGAAACTCCCAAACTGATCACAAGTAGACATTTGATTAAGCAACCAAGTTAAAGCAAGAACTTGGCACATAACCATGAGAACAGTGCTTGTCAAATCTCTTCACATTTCATTGAGCAAGTGCATTCCTCCAGCCACCAAAGGAATAATGCACTAAATGTTCAAGAAGTGGAATTATGCAATCAACCATGAAAAATGTTCAAGCTGCCTTCCCAGCTGAGCAGAGAGTAACTGTTCTTTCCCCATCATCCTCCAAACATTTGTGTGACTTTAGTCTGTGTCATTCCTATTGTAGCAGGTAGAATTTGATATGCAATTTAACATACAAAAAAGGGACACTTCTCTAATTTCATAGCTCAAGTCATTGCTAAAGTTTGCAAAAAGTAAATAGTTGTTATCATTTTCCCCTTCTTTTTTAGGATTAAAAATTGTGACAAATAGAGGTTGGCTTCTGGGATGCTAAGGTATATATGGCCCATCACAAATAAAACTAGTAAATTGTGGGCAGCTACTTTGCCAGTGCCTGCCTTGTCTAGACCTAGTTGAGTGCAATAAACTTCATGGCTGCTCCCAAGGATACAGGGCTTTGTGTTTTAAAGTGATTCCTATGCTGCCTCCTCCAAATAGGTGTTACATTTTTTGAGACAGAGAATGGGAGTTAATCTCTCTATGCTCCTAGTTTCAACAAATCCAGCATTATCTCTGGCTGTCTTCATTGCTGTAAGGGGGAAGGTAAAAATCAACTTTTCATTCATTCCATAAGTATTTATTGAATATTGTCTTCATTTATTTTTCATTAAAAGCAAATTCAACAAATTCTGAGACAAGAATTCAAGTGTAAGTGATTTGTTTGGGAAAGAACCCAGGAAAAACTGGTAGAGAAGTTTGGAAACGAGACAGGAAGAGAAGGTAGCCACAAGGAGTGCATTAACAAGTTATCACTGTGGGCAGTTGGAGCTCAGTTCCACTGGGGAACTCTGTGAGAGCTTGTAGAACACTCAGAATTGACCTATGAACATAAGGGAGCTGGCTTATATCCACCAGATCCTGAGGGTCACTGACTGAGTGCTGCCAGCATATATATCCCAGACTGTGCAGCCTACTGCACCTGACACCAGGGAGGCATTCTGCTGGCTGGGAGAAAGCCCTCTAGCAAGGAGTTAGAGATCCAGGCAGTTGGAAATAGAGGAAGCTCCCAGTGCAGTAGTCACGCCTGAGGGACAGTAATACAAAAGAAGTCTTATTCTAGACATGTGTAAGACACTGAAACAGATGCTATATAAAAGCTTAACTACTTCAATCAGTACATCAGGCAGAAGCAACTGCATTTTGCTGATTTTGTGCTCAGAATTATGCCAAGTACTGGATGTAGAAGAAATAGAAGAAGGCCTGATCTCTCCCTAATATTGAGCAGCTGTCTAGGTAAGGACAGCAGTCCCAACTCTACCATGCAACAATGGGCAAATGGATAAAATATAAGATGACATTAGCATTAGGGAAGCATTGGAATTCTTATGGAAGTCTTCATGGAGAAGGTAGGAAATGGAGGAAAGAAGGAGTTTACAGAAACAAAGCCAAAGTCTGTCTAGTTTTAGGAATGATGAGAGAAAAAGCATGGAGACAATTCTAACATAGCATGTTCTTAGACAATGAGGAAGCCATAAAACAGACTTGATGTAACACATTCAAGAGGAATGGGAATCTTCACATTTGCCCAGGTGGGCAGGCCAACATTGTGGGGCTTGAAGGCAAAACAAAAAAGTCTTGATGTGTTATTGTTCTACAGATATTAACTACTGCCTTGAGTCTTCAGTTTCTTTTGAAGACATCCAGAAGGGGCCACATCATGCCAAATGACCCTACTTCTGTGGCCACATCTGATTTGGAAGGGCAGACACTTGACCTCAGAGAGACTCACCAGATTCTGTTTTTATTTTTTCTTGACATTTTGACCCAGGGCATTAAGGGATTCAATAAGCTGATTCTTTGTAAATTCAGGGCAAATGTCCCCTTACTTAGTGAGCAACAGATATGTGCAAGTATAGCAGAGTAAATTATCTTAGATGTTACTGTTTGAGTGCGTCCCCCAAGGTTCATATGCTGGAAACTTGTTGTGCAGTGTGGCAATGTTGAAGTGGTCCAACTTCAAGAGGTAGGGCCCAGTGGAAGTTCATTAAGTCATAGGAGCAACACCCTTGGAAAAGATTAACAAAGGCCTCAAGAGATTCACTATTTCAAGAATGCATTGTTATAAAATAAGTTTTGGTATCTCAGATCTCTTTCACTTCCTTGTCTTGTGTGTGATTTCTTCCCACATGTTGTTCTACCATTGCAATGCTATCTACCATGTTGTAATATAACAGAAGGCATTCCCCAGACTGAAGAAAATAATGTTATCATACTCTTATATTTTCAAAACTATGGGCTAAATGCATCTACTTCCTTTACACAGTACCCAGCCTCAGGTTTTTTGTTATAGCAGCACAAAATGAACTAAGTTAGTAGGATACACTGAACTGCAAAGGTGACTACAAGTGTTGAAGAATCAAAAGAGAGAAAATCCATTGACCTACAAGGTAAAGACAACTTTCTAATTCCTCCACCACTAGGGTGTACTTCTGGCAATTTAGAGTCTTCCATAAACTATTCACTCAACCTAATGTGAGTTGAAATGAAGAATCCCTAAGTAAGCCAAGGTGGCATGTATTAATTTGCATATTACCCACTTGGCTTCCAGCGCTCTCATTTTTTTAATTAAGAGGGTTGATGTCATAGCTTGGATCCTCCACAAGCAAGCCATGAGATGAGAATTATGTGCAAGTGGTTTATTAAGAAAGGGCTCCAGGGAGACAGGAAAAGAATGTGGGAATCCAGACAGGGAAGGGAGGGGAGCCAAACAGACGATGAAGGCAGACCAAACCCGTGGAACTGCAGGGGGCGCTGTAGTGGAAGCTCTGCCTCAGGTTTCCTCCTTTTCTGCTTACCCTTCAAGGAAAACGGGTGTTGCTCCTGGACTGGCACTGTTCTGGGATGAGGAAGTGAATTAGACAATTCCTTACCCTCAACTCATTTACACTCTAACAGGAAAAGACACATTTGCAAATACTAACAGGCAGCTGGACGGAGGTTTCTGGGTGGAGCGGAGTAAGAAAACTCCATCAAAAAGGGCATACTCTGGCAATAGTGGGTTATTTAACATCTGTGTGTCCCCTCTCCCACCAAAGTATTAGAATCATTTAGTGACACAAACATGGCTGGTTTCCTCCCAGGAGCTGCTTTCTTATCTTTTCCAGAAACAAAACTTCCTGAAAAATGACTGTTGAAGGAATATGTTAATAATCTGGCAACAGCCCAATTTATACTGTGCAGCTTTAACCCAAGAAAGAGAAGAGTAAATATCAAACTCAAGGTCAGTAAGGCTGTTGTGTGTTTTTCTCTTTCTTTTTCCCTTATAGGTATGTTTGTTCTTTTAAGGACTGGGAACTTACAGTTTAATATATTTTTAGTCCAAGGATCAGGTTGCCAAGAAAGCAGTGGGCATTTGCTTGTGGTTGCTGGAGTTTCAGCCAGTGTCTGTGGCCTCTATTTAGTGCAAGAATAGAATGTGTTCCAGTATCTCTGAGGGTTTCAGGAGTCTTAAGGGCTCAACCTGATAAAAGAACCTGAGAGTTTTTTCCTTATTATGAGGGAATGATATGCCATATGATGCCACTTCATTTTGAAATACATAATAAAGTGCTACATACCAGTAGGTTACTATATTAGGAATTCACTATTTGTAAAATTTGGTATTCATACAGCACAATATTTTAGAAAAGTAATTTAGGCTTCTGATGAAAGTTGGCTTCCCCTAAGTCTGAGTATTTCACATTACTGCAGAATGTCTGCTACCACTGCACAGGCCGACAGTATGAACAGGGCTTTTATCTGTGCACCCCTGGAGTTATTACCTGTTTTTAATTGCAGCTATTCTTTCTGATTAATCATCAAGTATTATTGGTTGAAATTCCTCTTCATCTATTTTCTTTTATATATGGTTACTTTTCCTCTGTGGAGAAATGCTGTCCAAGTTTGGGTCTCCCCAGAAGTATAGTCTGCAGAAAGGATGTGAGTGCAAGTTTCTTATTTGGGTGTGCTTCCAGAAATCACCCAAAGTGAAGTAAGACAGGGAAGGGAGGAGAATCAATAGCACATGTGCTAATTCTTGCTGGGGTCAACAGAGACTCAGGCTCTTGAGGACTCTGGGGAGACTTTGCAGAACTTGCTTCAGTGTTGCCCTGCCCAAATGGGGAGGAGTTGGGGTCTTTACGCAGCATTTTCCATCTGTTGTTTGTTGAAGGCTGCTTTTAGAGTCACCAACTCACAGATGGCACAGAGCTTCCTTACATACTGCAGTGTGCTCCTGCAGCCAGGAAAAGCCCTCAGGGACAGTCATGGTACCCAGGAACTGGCTGTCAGTGAGAAGTCAGAAAAAAATAAGAGGAGTTGGGCAGCAAGTGGATACGCTGACAGCATCTGGTGTAGAAGCGTATTTGCATGAATGGTATTTAGGGCCATCTTCTTCTAACCACTTGAAACACAACAGGTGTTGCATTTCAATGCACCAACTAAGGCCACATCGCTATGTTGTCAGAGAAAACCTTAAAATCGAAAGCTTGAAGAGGGGAAGAGACCAGTCATGTGAAGAGTGAAGGGACAGTACTCAGTATCTTCTCTTACATTTTCTCCATTTAAATTCTGAGCCTAAAACAAGGCAATTTGAATCTTAGATTGCTTGAAGACTGATTTTTGGCAATTATGTTCTCAATCAGAGTAAAATCGTTCTAGCCATCTGCTACAGGATAAAATTTCAAAATTTCCATCTTATACCATTTTAATCTTCACATTCCTCTTGTCTAACCAGTTCTTCTCTGCCTACCCATTAGTCAAATTTCCAAGCTCATTTTCACCAAACACAGCTTTGACAATCCCTATCATCCGTACTAGGTTTCTATACTCCTCCTCAGAGTTACGTGGAAACTGTATTTCCTTAGAAGAAAGAAAAATCTCGTTCAAGACCCAGAAAAAACCCATCTTCTCTGCTGCTGATGAAGAGAACAGCCTGAGATTAGACTTGCTCAAACTTTTCTAGTTACAAAATACCCCCAACTTCGGCCTCTTAAGCAAAAGATGGTTTTGTCTTTCTCAGATACTAGTTCTAAAGTTTCTCAGGATCTTTCTGTTCTCTGAGTAACTCATGGCACTAAGAAAAATAGTACATGAGTTTTTGACAACATATCAGCCCTGAAGGCCCCAAGTCACAGATTGTTTTTTTCTTGTCACCGTCCAAATGCACACTCCCAAGGGATATGTGGCTAAATTCCTGAAACAATCCAGTAAGTAGTGCTACAGGGAATTACTTTTTTAAAGATTTATTTATTTACTTGAAAGTCAGAGTTACACAGAGAGAGGAGTGGCAGAGAGAGAGAGAGGTCTTGCATCCGATATTTTATTCCCCAGTTGGCCGCAAACGGCCGGAACTGCGCTGATCCAAAGCCAGGAGCCAGGAGCTTCTTCTGGGTCTCCTAGGTGGGTGCAGGGGCCCAAGGACTTGGGCCATCTTCTACTGCTTTCCCAGGCCATAGCAGAGAGCTGTTTTGGAAGAAGAGCAACCGGGACTAGTACCGGCACCCATATGGGATGCCGGCACTTCAGGCCAGGGCGTTAACCCATTGAGCCACAGCGCCGACCCCTACAAGGAATTATTAAACACTAAACACTTTACAGAATTATGACGTGGTTCAGCTCTCACTCTCACTTAGATTCCCAGATTAGATTCTCACTTAGATTCCCAGAAATCCCAGCATCTCCTGCCATCCGATGATGCTGGTGGACCCTCCAACATATTCCCCATCAAGAACATTTCCCTCTCTTGGGGTTTCTCTGAATATTTCTATTTTTGAAAGAATAAGTTTTTCTGACATGTTTTGAGTTGTTATCACCTCTGCATACAATTGTTTTCTATCTCCTAGAGATTCTAGAAAATTTTCGTTCCTTTGAACGTTCCTTTCATGTATTATAGTGGATTATTTACATCAATGATTTTTTCATTGCTGAGGCTATCCAATAGCAGTAGGTGCCTGTATACAAATTGTAATTTGACACAATTTTAATAGCCTTTTATACATGATGTATTTTTTTGCATATCTAATAACATGAAATTGCCTATCAATAATGGTTGAATGAATGAAATGCTTAAATCATTATTTTTAAATAATTATTTACTCAAAAAACAGAATGACAGAAAGAAGGAGAGACAGAAAGAAAAAGAGATCTTTCATCCTCTGGTTCACTCCCCAAAAGGCTTCCACAGTTAGGGCTGGGCCAGCCTGAAGTCAGGAGCCAGGAACTCTGTCTGAGTCTCCCATGTGGGTTGCAGAGACTCAAATACTTGAGCTGTCTTCCATGGCTTTGGCAGGTGCATTACCAGGAACTGGATTGGAAGCCAAAGTGCTCATTATGTCACCTTGCTTTTTAATTGCTTGTCTTCTGTATTAGAATCAATACAAAGCAGGTACCAGCATCTCTCACCTCTTCTCTTGTCATAAGTGTTTCTATCCTCTAACTTTGCAGAATTATGTTTGATTTGAGGCCGGCGCCGTGGCTCACTAGGCTAATCCTCTACCTTGCAGTGCGGGCACACCGGGTTCTAGTCCCGGTCGGGGTGCCAGATTCTGTCCCGGTTGCCCCTCTTCCAGGCCAGCCCTCTGCTGTGGCCAGGGAGTGCAGTGGAGGATGGCCCAGGTGCTTGGGCCCTGTACCCCATGGGAGACCAGGAAAAGCACCTGGCTCCTGGCTCCTGCCATCGGATCAGCGCGGTGCGCCGGCCGCGGCGGCCATTGGAGGGTGAACCAACGGCAAAAGGAAGACCTTTCTCTCTGTCTCTCTCTCTCACTGTCCACTCTGCCTGTCAAAAAAAAAAAAAAAAAGAATTATGTTTGATTTGGACTGAATTTTTTCCCTAGTAGGTCCCTACTCTCTGCCTTTGGCTTCATTTATCTTCATGAGCTAAGTTCTTTAGCAGAACTTATGGAAAACACAAGCTTTGTTTAACATATCCCATTTACTGCCACTCTTGCATCCTGAGCTATGTCAAATCCTAGCATTAACCTTTCTATATTGTAATTGTTTCCTAGCCTACATCTTCTTCATACCTGGAGGCCTTGGAGAGAACAGGATTGGTCTTTTCTATCTATTAACACAAGGATGTAATACGCGGTGGTTGTGCCATACTGCAATTGCATGATGAATGCAGGTACTCCAATGCAGAAGTGAGTATATATTTAGCATTCTGGAAAAATGCATTTGTACTGCTAAAGACCATTCTATAGGGTATGCATTTTGAATGAACTTTAAAGTAGCTAAGTAATGGTTGCTTTTACTGGAAGCACTAAAATGTGAATGATGATTAACTCTGAGTTTTTAACCTGGGTTATGTTTTTGTCTTAATAATTTTTTGTATTTTCAAAGTTTCCTCTAAGGAGCCTGATAGGCTGTATTAATAATCAGGAACAAAGATTTAAGACATTTTTTTTATATTTTCATTGTACCTATGTGGCAAATATTTGCAGAACAAAAAAATGAGTAAAATTTTCAAGTGTTTAACTGATTTTCTGTAGAGTTGGAATGATTTTTTTCCTTTCTGTTAATTTTCAGGTTTTTTTTGTTTGATTATAAATTCCTTTTATAAGAAAAAATTGAAGTATTAAAATGTTAAATAAGTGACATTGAAAATAAACTCCTTCTCATTAAGAAATTACTGAATTTTATCAAATCTCATTTATTGACAAGTCATTTAAGCTGTGATTCTAAGAACATATGGAAAACAATTTAATATTGATATTCATCTTTTAAAATGGGGAAATACAACTCTGGAAATTATAAAACTGAAAATTTGTTGTAGAGATTTTAGAAGCCACATATACTTGGGCTGGGAGCAGAACCTAAGTCCAGTTGTGAATTATGGGGTTGATTTTTAATGAGATATAGCTACCCACTTTTGCTGCCAAACTTATTATCCTTTAGTACATAATACACTGGAGATTAAGATCCTACAAATTCAGCAAAAGATTTACTGTAAAGTAGTCAAACTAGTGTTAGTTATAATTTATACAGGTACATATTTATCATTATAGCATGTTTGAAAAAATGGAATGAGAGAAAGAAGCCAATCTTATTTTGGAATAATATCTCTTTTAATTTTCTTCTCTAAACTCATATGTTCTGTGTTTATCATGAGTAAAAACTAAACACTTCTTCAAATGGTTAAGATTTCCTGCAAGTATATTTGGCAAGGGATGAGTCAATTATCTGCATAATGTTATCTATTGAAATGGAGAATTAGATAGGTTTTTAGCCTTTATGATTACTTTTCTGAGCAAACATGTTAAGTTCTTAGAGATTGCTACCCATCATCAATGGTCATGAGCCAAAAATATGATTTATAAACTTGATCAATATTTTCATGTATAATTAAATGTCAAAGGAGATACTTCTATGGATGACTCATATCATTCCGTCCTAGACCTGGACACCCCTCTCCCCAAGGATACCAAGATCTGAGAATGCTTAAGTCCCTTATATAAAATGCCATACCATTTGCCTGTAACCAACATATGTCCTCCTGTATATTTTATTTTTTTAAAAGATTTATTTTATTGATTTGAAAGACAGAGTTACAGAGAGAGGTAGAGACAGAGAAAAAGGTCTTCCATCCGCTGGTTTACTCCCCAGATGGCCGCAATGGCCGGAGCTGCGCCAATCTGAAGCCAGGAGAAAGGAGCTTCTTCCAGGTCTCCCATGTGGGTGCAGGGGCCCAAGGACTTGGGCCATCTTCTACTGCTTTCCCAAGCCATAGCAGAAAGCTGGATTGGAAGAGGAGCAGCTGAGACTAGAACGGGCGCCCATATGGGATGCCGGCACCTCAGGCCAGGGCTTTAACCCACTGCGCCACAGCTCCAGCCCCCCTCCGGATTTAAAGTGTACTTTAAATCACCTTAGATTACTAATAATACCCAATGCAATATAAATGTTATATAAATAGTTGTTTTATATTGTTTCGGGAATAATAAGAAGAAAAAAAGTCTGTTCAGGGCAAATGCAATTTTCTTTTTAAATGTTTTTGACTTCAGGTGGGTAGAATCATAGATGCAGAACCCATGCATAAGGAAGGCCAACTGTATAGCAATTATCTAATGTTTATTATTCTATTGTCTTTTCTATAAACCTATGAAATAATTCTATCAGTGAGGGTAGTCAGCAATCTGAAATCCTGGTTGCCTATAGCATACCATGTCCATGTCTATTGATGAAAAACTCTGAACCCTGCTGTGTACCTCCTAGGCTTACAGAGCAGCTGGCAGCAGAGGAGAGAATACTTCAGGGGGTCTCAGATTTGCAGTTAAAAGCTCCAGCTTGGAATTGGCAAACATCATTCCCACTCACAACTCATTGATCAGAAATTGTCACCTGGCATCATCCAACTACAAGGAGGAAGGCCAGGGAATGCAATCCTACTCTACATCTGGCGGGAGTGGGAAGGGGGACAGGAAATATTTGGTGAATAACACTAATCACTGGAATTGTGTGTCCCTATTTTATACACACACAAAACCACAGAATCTAAGTGAGTTCAGATTGTCAAGTCACGTAACAAAATAAGTGAAAGAACTAAGACGCTATTAAAGAACACTAAATGTGTCTTTGACAATATTTTTAAAGAAAATTCCAAGTCTACCAATTCTGTGTCATTTAGAAACAAACAAGAAAATTAGAGATTGAGTAGAGATTAGCAGTATCTTTTAGTCTCATCTTTGTGAACTCTGAAATCCTTTGGCTCTATTTACAGCTGACTAGTGCTAGAGACTGAAGTTACTGATTTTCTGCTATCAGAATTGAGTCCTTTAGGAAACTATCATGGCCCTAGGTTCTAGGTAATTCACTAGGGTGATTTTCTAAAGATTAAGAGTAACAAGACTTGCAATCACTTGGGAGATTTTGTTAGCATTGTGAAGCCAACTGACTCTCAGGAAGAGGTGATACTATCTAATCAACCTTCCTCAAAGGTGTGCATTTTTCATCAAGATGTAATATAGACGGGGCTGTTGCATCACACAATTCTCTGAGACACTTTTTATATAGAATTCTAGGTGAATGGGGCCTTTGGAGGTGTGCAATGCATTGGTAAAAATACCCCTTTCTTTTAGGAGACAAATGTTAAAGAATTTCAGCTTAGAAGTGTTCTTTCACTTTTTATGAGTAGGTGCTGGGAAGAAATACCTGATCAGTAAAGTCTTGAGGTATCTACAAACTGTATTTACACTGAGAGTTTTAGCCAATGAAATTCCTTTCTATCACTTCTTTTTCAGCATTTAACACCATATGCTTCTTAGCACTTGTCTATTTGGCATATAGACCAAATAAACAACAAATTGGCATCACATCTCCTTGGTATCCAGGAAGTAGTCTCCATCCTGGCTGCATATTAATACCATGGAATGCTTTCAAAACAGGGCTCTTACTCTATTCCCACTCAGGATCTGATTTAATTGACAGCCCATGAGCACTTTTATATAGTTCCCCAGATGGCTTTAATAGTAATGAGGATTGAGAACCACAGACTTGGGAAACATTTAAAAATATTTTAAGACAAGGTGACTATGAAGCAATTCTGTTTAGTGGAAAAGAAATATGGGAAGGCTTTAACATTGCTGTATCAAAAAAAAACCAAAAAACAAACATAAATTCTAATAGCTTTGACTCCTTAACCTAACCAGTTTGGCATCTTAACCTACTTACCACTCTTCCACAATGGCCCTTGCCAAGGCCCATACTTAGTTCCACATTGCCAAATCTATTAGACCACTGGTTCTCAACTTTTTTTCATAAGAACTCCACAGGCAGATTTAAAAATCCAGATACTAGATAATACTCAAGTGCAATTAAATCAGAACTTTTATACGTAGAGCCAACAACTTATTTTTTGAACGTTCTTTAAGTGATTCCAAAATGCAATCACAACAATGAATCACGTTTCAGTCAATATTACACTAAACTTCTCTGCCACCTTTGTAATAAACTTACTATTTGAAAGACAGAGACAAATAGTTCTATCTACCGGTTCACTCCCATCTAATTGCCTGCAACAGGCAGAGTTGGGTCAGGCTGAAGTCAGGAATCTGGAACTCACTTTGGGTCTCCCCCAAGGCTGACAGAGACCCAATTATTTGAGCCATCACTGCTGCCTCACAGGTTGTGTACTATCAGCAAGATGGAATCAGGAACTACAGCCAAGACTGACACCCACACACTCTGATATAAAATGTAGGAGTCTTAACCACCAAGCCAAACCTCCTCCTCACTTCTCAGCAACCTATGATATGGGCATCTTCTTCTACCTTGGAAAACTGTATTATTTTGGCTTTTATGACGCCACACTCTTTTGTTCTTCCCTTTCCTTCTAACTTCTCTAACATTTCATCCCTCACTCTTGTGTGTCAACTTCCCCTCTTTAGATATCTACATTATGTGGAAATTCAGCTCTAAGGGCAGAATTGTCATCTTGGTCTAGTTGACATAATTTATTCCTTGATTCTAAATATTACCAGTAGGACAAAAACTTCCAAATTTATAACACTAGGTATACTCCTTTTTTATTTTTTGAAGAATCCAAATTTTTTTAAGATTTATTTATTTATATGAGAGGTGAATTTATAGAGAGAGGGAAAGACAGTGGGAAACGTTTTTCATCCACTGGTTCACTCCCCAAATGGCCGCAAAGGCTGGATCTGGAGGCAGATCCAGGAACTTCCTTTGGGTCTCCCATGGAGGTGCACAGGCCCAAGCACTTTGGGCCATCTTCCACTGCTTTCCCAGGTCATAACAGAGAGTTGAATCAGAAGAGGAGCTGCTGGGACACAAACCAGTGCCCATACGGGATGCCATCGCCATAGATGGAGGCTTAGCCCACTCCACCACAGTGCTGGCCCCATGTGCTCCTTTTTGATGCTTTCCTCATTCTCATTGTGTGATGTGATGCCTGCCCTGCACAAGACAGAAACCTGGGAGGCATTCTCAGTACTTCCCTCCTCAGACCTCATCAAAAAATCCAGATGTTCCTCATATCCCATGTAGTCTACCTCTACAGCAATCCTGCAAATCCATTGTCTTCTCAATGCCTCCACAACTAAATCAGTCATCACTTGTGTATCACACTTTGTCCTAAACCTTATTACTTTAACATGACAATGAGTGTTTTCCATCTCATATAGTGTCTGTGGCTCAAGGATGTCGGAGTAGCTTACCTAAGATGATTGGTCACGAGTCACTAGTTAGATTGCAGTCAATTAGCCAGGGCTGCAGTCAACTGACAGTTTGACTGGAGTGGGAAAATCTGTTTCCAAGATGGCTCTCTCACATGGCTGAAGAGTTTGCTGGTTGCTAGTGGGAGACTTCAGATACTCTTCACATGGGACTTTTCATAGGGCTGTTTGAGTATCCTCAAAACATGGAAGTTGGCTGCTCCAAAGCAAGTGATCTATGAGAGTGCAAATAAAGGACTTTGTTGTCTTTCATGGTTTGCCTTTGGAAATCACACACCAACATTTTTGTGTGATTGTTGCGGTTATCCAGGTTAGCCATAATCAATATGAGAAGATGAGGACAAAATGCGGAAATCAGAAGGTGATGCTGGAGAAAGGCTGATTTGGAGACTGCCTGATAGAATAGTCAACACTCTAGACTGTGCCACAATTATTTCTCACCCAAGATAGTACAAGATGATTTCTTCATATCACTTCTAACTCTGTCCTCATGCCAACCTTTTCTGCAAAGCAGCCAGAAGTTGCTTTAATAAAGTGAATAGGATACTATCATTTCCCAGGTTGAATTCTTCTATGCATTACATGGAACTTAGGAAGAAATTCACAGTCATTACCGTTCCCTGCCCAGCTCTTCCTTTCAACCTCATCCTCAGCTCTCTTCCTCTCATCACCATCTTTACTCAAGTCTTTGCTCTGGTCTTCTTGCTCTTCACCAAGCCAGGCTCTTCCCCACTTCCAAGGCTTGGCAGATGCTGCCTCCTCGGGTATACATTTCCTCCTCCATTGCTCCCCGCAATCTGGCAGTTTCCATTCATTCTCTGCACATTAGACATGTCCTCCCTGTTAGATCCTCCCTGACTCTCACTAAAACACTGCTCAGTACTTTTTCATTATAACATTCATAACGGTGTATGCTGCTATATTTGTATTTAATTACTATGTTCCCATTATGGTGGCAAGAGACAAGAGAGCATTGCTCAATATCCTATACCAAGTGCCTACTGGAAAATAGTAGATCCTTAATATTTATTAAAAATGGACTATTTTATTAATGACTTTTAGTCTTTAAGTGAGGATTTCAGATGAGCTCTTTGCTATGGTTTGGGTATTCTGGTAATTTTTATTTTTATTTTTTACCAAAAGCTTGAAAAAGAGTAACTTTTTTTACTATTGGTTTTTAAAATAAGGTATAAAAGGTTTAAGAACATTTTTCTCCATTCAAGGTGATTTTTGTAAGCACAAAGGATGATATAGAAAACCACTAAACCAATTACTGCATTTGAATCAATAAGTACATTATTTTTGTCAGATATCTCTCAGCAAATGGCTTGGGTAATATTGTCCATTCTTGTTTTTTTAAACTGTCTTACTCACACATCTCAAATGAAGGGAAGCTGAAGACTTTATGGAACACTTCATGGAACAACGCTGTTAACGAATTCATGATGGTGCAGTTCTCTGGGTTTATGACAGAGGAAAATGAAGGTAATGTGCTCTGGGCACCTGACACATGTAGGAACGAGTACCACACAGCAAGTTCAGTGCTGTGGCACATACTTATCTGCTGATACCTGGTCTGTGACTAGAATGTTTCTTATGCTGAAAGTCATACATATCACTCTGTTTTCCAAGAAAGAAAAACTGGTATAAGTTTCTCTGTAAAGAGTGTTTAAAACTGCTTTTCCTTGCTTATTTGCAATCATTTCACTTCTTCACAATGATTGGCAATGTTTATGTCTACTGAGGCCTGGTGTGGAGTTCAAGCCAGTGGAGTAAGGGAGCCCTCCTCCCTGTCCTCATGATCATAGGCAGCTACATAGAAGAATACTGCAATGGTTCTAAATAGCTATGTTACTGGTGGCAATCAGGAGGACTAAGGAATCCATTAGGAAGAAAACAAACTATTCTCAAGAACAGATGTGGGAACTCAGGGATGAATTCGTGTTAAGAATAAACTTCTGTCTATACCAGACTATGTACTGAAAACATATATATGTTATTTTTAGCCATGCTCAATAATTAGTTTTAAAATAGTGTGAATTGAGATTACCATCTTTTCAATGTGTCAGAAACATAAGAATTAAGTGTATGAATAATTACTTTATCATATGCTGCTTAGAGCTCAAAATTCCCCCCTGGAGACCACCTATATGAGCTTGTCTACATTGTTTAGGGATGTAGAGATTGACAGCTTACCCCTGGTTTAATAAGTTTCCAGCCTAGATTTAACTACATGATTGGTGGGCATAAAAGACCTCGTAATAAATACATGTCCAGGCTCACAGTTGTCTTGATAGTGTCTAACGTGATGATGAAGTGTGTCCCATCATTGGGGGACTATGGATTGTGTGTGGAAATCTTGGATGCTTCTATAATTATGCTTTTGGTCCTGCCATATTGTATCCTCCACTGTGTTAAAACCTTATGCAAATATACACCATGGACTCTTGCAAATCTTTTGCTAATCTTCAATTCTGTAATTATCAGGTGCATGCTATGATTATTCAATTAAAACATGTCTCTTCTACCAAACTATAAACTCCATGAGGGCAGATGACATGGTTGGTTTTGCGTTCCATTTTCTCCTGATATGCTATAGTGCCTCATACATGGTAAATGAGGATCAAATCAAGGAAGCAGAGAGCATTCTGACTTCTTACAGAAGAGATGATAATACAAAGATTTGGTTGCACACGTGATGCAAGAGGCTGAGTAAGGGGGCCAAGGCACAGTGAGGCAGCTGAGAAACTACCAAGAAAGGAAGTTGCTACCCTTCCCAGGCTAAAAGGACCAAGGGAGTGGGTGGTATTGCCAGAGCCCAGGGGAGAGGTCACCTGGTAGTGGCTGGAGCTGTGGGGGAGACAGACATAGCAATTGCCTAGTGCACTGTAGAAGGTGAAGAGAGGATGAGAAACCATGTTGTCTTCTCCTCTCCTTTCTTGTTTATCTCTTTCCATTGTTTGAATCTATTTGGAAGCCAGAAGAGGCAGAAATCCGGGAAATACAACCTGAACGAGTCACTCTCTTGTGATGCACTGCAGGAAAGAACAAGGAGCAGACAGTGTTTTCATTATCTGTGCTCAATAAAGATCTGCTGAATGAATTAAGGAAACCACACCAGGCAGAACAAGGTTTGCTGATTAATTCAACACTCCAGTCAATCTAGCATTTGGCAGAATGGAAGGTTTCGATCTGTAACAGACATGCATATGTTATATGAGGAGAGCTTCAAAAAGTTTCTGGAAAATGGCATTAAAAGATAGGTAAGTGTTTTGACACAAAAATTAGAAATCTATGCAGGCTTTTTTTTCAAAATAGGAAGTTTTCATGGACTCTGAAGACCTCTTGTATAGATGAGAGGTCCTATCTGGGGCTGAAACTGGAGATATGCAATCTGCCTGCCTGCTCTCAGTTAGTGACGAGTCTATACTTAATCAGCCCTCTTTCTGGAGGACATTTTAAACATTATTTATGTATTTATTCAAAAGTCAGAGTGAGAGTGAGAGACTGGGAAAGTAACATGGCCGGCGCCGCGGCTCACTAGGCTAATCCTCCACCTAGTGGCGCCGGCACACCAGGTTCTAGTCCCGGTCCGGGAGCCAGATTCTTTCCCGGTTGCCCCTCTTCCAGGCCAGCTCTCTGCTGTGGCCAGGGAGTACAGTGGAGGATGGCCCAAGTGCTTGGGCCCTGCACCCCATGGGAGACCAGGAGAAGCAACTGGCTCCTGCCATTGGATCAGCACGGTGCGCTGGCCGCAGTGCACCAGCTGTGGTGGCCATTGGAGGGTGAACCAACGGCAAAGGAAGACCTTTCTCTCTGTCTCTCTCTCTCTCACTATCCACTCTGCCTGTCAAAAAAAAAAAAAAGTGACAGAGACTAAGATCTCTCATCCACTCGCATTCTACGAATGCCTGCAATACCATGTCTGGGCCAGACTGAATTTGGAGCTGGGAACTCAATCCAGGTTTCCCACATGAATGGCAGGGGCCCAAGTACTTTGTCCAGCTTCTTCTGTTGTCCCAGGTACACTAGCAGGGAGCTAATGGATTGGAAATGATTGGAAATGGAACAGTTGGGACTTGAACTGGTGCACAAATGGGATGCTGGTGTTACAGTCAGTGGCTTAACCAACTAGACCATATTGCTGGCCCCCCAACTTAAGACTTTTACATTTAAACATCTATATGAATTATGGTGAGCCAAATATGTTTAAACCATAGCAGCTAGGTTATAATACCTAGTGACTCAGTTAAGCACCAATCTTAGGTTTGCTGTCAAAGAATTGTCTAGATGCAATTACATCTGTAATGAGTTGATTTTATGTAAAAAAGATAGTTCCCAATGATCTGGGTGGGCCTGATTTTATCCAATGCTTTAACAAAAGTAGAAATTTTGACAACTGCAATATGGTTATGTAAAAGAATGTCCTTGCTCTTAAGATGTGCATACTGAAGGATTTAAGGGAGAATGGAGGTTTCCCTGAAGAAATTCTGCCTGTGTACTTCAGGGATAGTTCCTGCTCAGGAGCTTTCTGTTTACACCTCCTGACAGCTTATGCTACAGACTTAGGATTTGCCAACCATCCCCCTCAATCATGGACTCCAACTCCTTACAATAAATCCATCTTTGTATCTATCTAGATATGTATCTATCATTGATCTCTATCATCTATCCTCTACCCACCTATCCATTCATCCATTCTTCCATCCATCTATACATCTATCCATCCATCCATCCATCCATCCATCCAACTGGTCCTAATTCTCAGGCAAAATTCTCATATACATCCTTTCTACACACAGGTCCAATCCCAGTAGGCACTCATGAGGTTTCATGGTGGGTCCTTTTTTTATTATTATTTTTATATTTGACAGATAGAGTTATACAGTGAGAGAGAGAGAGAGACAGAGAGAGAAAGGTCTTCCTTCCATTGGTTCACCCCTCAAAGGGCCACTACGGCCAGAGCTACGCCAATCCAAAGCCAGGAGCCAGGTGCTTCCTCCTGGTATCCCACATGGATGCAGGCGCCCAAGCACTTGGGCCATCCTCCACTGCCTTCCTGGGCCACAGCAGAGCGCTGGACTGGAAGAGGAGCAACCGGGACTAGAACCCGGCGCCCATATGGATGCTGGCACTGCTAGGTGGAGGGTTTGCCAAGTGAGCCATGGCACCGGCACCTCATGGTGGGTCTTTTAAAATCTCATTTTTTTCCTGCCCTTAACATACTTGTCTTAAAGGAAAGTTACATATAATATCTAGTCATTTTCATATTTTCTTTCAGGTATCATGAAATTTTGTCCAAAGTAGTAGCTACTGTACGAATGCACTTAAACCACCTCTCAAATGCAGAAGACAAGGACAAATTCTCCAGGCTGGGGAATGTTTATTTTGTAATTAACAGAAAGTAAGGGATTATATTTTCAGAGTTTTTTGCCAGGAGACTTAATCACAATACTGTAGGTTTTTTTGTTTGTTTGTTTGTTTTGTTTTTTTTTTTGTTTTTCCCAGTTTGGGCTCTTTCAGAAGCAACCTTGAGACCAGGATTTAGGTATATTTGGAAGGTAATCTCAACAAAGAGGAGGAAGAGGTGGGGAAAATGAGACAGAGAAGGAGGAGGGGGAAAATGAGACAAGGAAGGGAAAGTGACAATGGAGGGTATGTTGTGAAGTAGATTATCACTGTGGGAAACATCAGCATACTCCAACTGGACACTGTAGGAGTCAGGGAGAGTGTGCCTGCACTTCACAAAATTTCCACGAGAAGGGTGAAGGAGCTGGGGTATTAATACACTGAATCTGTTCAATGACTGGCTTAGAATTGCCTATAAAGCAATGCAAACTCACAGGCACTTCTGCCCTGCTGTACAAATCTCTAGCAGCTCTCTGGAATGTGGAAGTCAGACCTGAGAGTACTATAATTCCATTGCGGAGGGGAGGTGGATGGAGTGCAGACACCATAGAGGTGCTAACATTTTACTTGACCCAAGATTTCTAAGACACATCATTTGTAATGGCATTGAGAAAAAAACTCCCTCCTAGAAAGATTAAGCACTGCTTCTCTTTCCTAATATTTAATTGTTTTCATGAATTTCATATTTAATAAGACTAGTAGTATCTTCATAGTATTTTTGACAGTAACATTTATAACTCACATGACTGTATCCAACTATATTCTTAAAGCACAGTGGGGGAATTCAGCCAGAATGATCTGCCATTCATTGCAAAATGAAATACATCATCTGTCAATAGCTCAGAATATGCACAGTTATTAAAGGAAAAGGAAATATTTGGTAACACTTTTTTAATGTATGGATTGCTTTGACTTTGATGGTAATAGCTGCTTTCTCTACATTTTCTTTCTTTTGGGCCTCAAAGCATTTACTCCAAAAAGGAACTGTTGCAACTTAGGTCTTCAAGGCAGCTTCTAATGCCCGAGCTTTCTCTGTGATGTTCTTCTGAAAAGGCATCATGAAATCTTCGAAGTCTACCTCGTAAGTAAACCTCTCCCGCTGTAGCTCCCTCTTCCTGATCAGCTCTGTTGTGGTGGCTTCAGGACTCCAAATCTGAAACAAATAGTGAAACCCAGAGCACAATGAGTATACAGCCTACAAATATGCCAGCATCCAGGTCAATTTCATTCCATAGTTTTAACTTAAAACTATCAAATTTGCTTCTAAATGCACTGAAACTCCCCTTCGCCCTTACATTTCATCAGCGATTATCTTAGCATCACTATTTCTTTCTTTTTTTTTTTCAGGCAGAGTGGACAGTGAGAGAGAGACAGAGAGAAAGGTCTTCCTTTTCCATTGGTTCACCTCCCAGTGGCAGCTGCAGCCAGCGCACTGTGGCAGGCGCACCATGCCGATCTGAAGGCAGGAGCCAGGTACTTATCCTGGTCTCCCATGGGATGCAGGGCCCAAGCACTTGGGCCATCCTCCACTGCACTACCTGGCCACAGCAGAGAGCTGGCCTGGAAGAGGAGCAACCGGGACAGAATCCGGCGCCCCAACTGGGACTAGAACCCGGTGTGCCGGCACCGCAAGGCAGAGGATTAGCCTATTGAGCTGTGGCACTGGCCAGCATCACTACTTCTGATGCTGACTATCTGGAATATTCTTTCTATTACATTTCTCTGGCCAGTACCCTCAGGCCAGCTGCTGTTCACTTTTAGGATGTTGAAACCGGGAAGTAAAGGAATTAGAAGGTCATCTGAGTTTACTACCTTTGTGTCTTATGTTGAAGTAAAACATACTTTCATAATAGAAGGCAGGAAGAACTGCTTACTCAGCAAGTTTGGAAGGGCACTAGAAAGACAACTCTTTTCCTCAAAAAGACATCTCCAACCTCATTAATTGGAGATATTTTAGGAGACTCAATAAATCCAGTCTTGGCTTTAGTTAAATTTCTAAGTGAAAGGAAGGGTTGGGTCTGGGAAATACCAAGAAAAATGCATCTAGAACTTGGTGACAAAATGGCTGTAGGGAATGCTGTTAACCGAAGAAGCCTTCAGTCTTTCAAGAAAAATTCAAATGTCAATATCAAAATGGGAATAAGATGTTGAGAGCTAACATTGAACTGATTTGAAAGTATCAAGACCTGGCAAAAGGACACTTACAAATAGTAACTATGAAAGATAAACTTTGGGCTTTGGATGAATGGCATAATAAAATCATTTGCAAAATGATAGGATGAGCTCCTACAGTGCTGTGAAGATATTTCCATTGTGCTTACCCTTCGTGGAACAAATGTGATATCCACTTTCTTGGTATAACCACTGGTAATCAATGAATTGAGATAAACCACATTATCCTTACGCATTTTCTTTTCCTCTGATATGGCTGGTACAGCATAAATGGATGAAAGTTGTTCCTGAAAACAAGACAAAAAGTAAAATACAAAAACCTACAGTTACCATCTCACATTATTTGTTTTTGTACGTCTTATTCTGAAGTCAGAAAAAAAACTCTAAACACGTTACTATTTAAGTTGTAAGTTTAGGCAAAATAGACTATTATTATAACTTTGGATAGGAAGATATTAGTTTGCTTGTTTTAACTCTACTTATTTAGTAGTATCAGTGACGGGTCACATAAATGTTCAGGTATTCATCCTCAACCCATGGTTATTCATTGATCAGGGGAATGGAATCCTACTATAATTGTAATAGTGTACATAGTATTTAGCCAATTAATCTGCCTTCATCTCCTTTCACTCCAATGTTCTCCATGTTTATAATGCTCTCCTTTATCTAAATCCCTTCACCCTAGCCACTTCCTACCATCTATGTCCCCTCAACCCTTTTCGAACTGACAGCATTAAAGTGTTTCCTTGTCCTATGTCTGCCAAGAATCTCCTGTGAATTTTCCGCTTCTCTAAAGGAAGAGTCCAGCCTAGAAATGAACTTACGGCTTCCCTGGTAAGGGAGAAGTCTTGATGTCACAGTAATCTCCACAGGCAATGGCCTCAACCTTCCATTGGTAGTTTAGTTTAAAGAAACCTAAACTACTCTGGATTACGAGAACAGTCAACTTGATGTATCGTCAACCTGACAACTCAACACACCAGAATGGTCAACTCAAGTCATTTCTCAAGATATCTAACTTATAACTAATTTCATATCCCAGAGTTCAATAGAGCTGGGCATGGGGGAGGTAGACAGTGAAAGATTATGAGACCAAAATGAAGGGAAACCATGCTTAATTCATTCCCCATGAGGGCTACCCTTCTTCCATGTTTGAGCTATCTCACCAAATCTGTATAACTTAAGAATATACACAAATCCAATTCAGTTATTTTTCAATATCTTAATTGTACTTGGTCAAATCAACTTGGCTTTTGTGTGTATTCTGTTTATAATGAGCACTTACTATACTCTATAGTAGCAGGAATTTTTTGGTAGATATTTAAGAGTATTATATAATCATGCTGAAAGTATGCATTGCATATGATTTTGCCTGTGTTGTATAATAATATAATGATATATAAATACTGATGGTGGCCACC